CCCCTCCCCCCCCAAATGTGCAGGATAGTGTATTTGTTTGTCCTCCGTTCCGCATCTTTACGGTTGTCATTGCTGGGATCGTCCTCAGACTTCTCTTTGCAGTGAGATCCTTCCGCTTGCCCCTTCCTCTCTCTATATCTGCCACTTCGATCTCCATCTTCCCCTTCCCCTTTTCATCCCTTTTTCCATCTGCTTAGTGCAACTTGGTTTCTTTCTTTATGCAACATTATCTTTCTTTTGCAATTCTGTTCTGGTCGCTGTTCCTCGTCTTTTGCCAATGCAGTTCTTCCACTTCCTCCCCCTTCCTTCTGCCGTGTGGCCCTCGTGCTCCTTAAGGAAGGCTTATTTATTTCGTGCTCTTTAAGGAAGGCTTATTTATTTCGTGCTCTTTAAGGAAGGGTTATTTATTTCGTGCTCTTTAAGGAAGGATTATTTATTTCGTGCTCTTTAAGGAAGCGTTAACTGTGGATGATGCTCTGCAGTGTTATGACTCTGGTGGTGGTTATTTATTGTGCGTGTCTTGGCAGGCATTGACCCTTCCTCCAGAACAGCAGATGGAGCTCTATACAAAATTGGAAAATATTCTTTTTGGAGAGGGATACAATTTCACTGCAAAATTGCATAACGCAGCGACCTGTGTGGTATGATATTGGGTGCTCAGGGCTCAGTAGAAGGAAGGGTTCAGTTAAGGTACCCTGAACCAGGGTGGAGAGTGGGAGGATCGGAGGGAGGGGGCAAAGGAGGGGCCCGGGGAGGGGGGCGGAAGGGTGCAGCAGGACAGACAATTGTCAGGGTATGGCACGGCATGGCGGATGAAAATGGGAAAGCCATCCCTTGTGAACTTGGGAGAAAGTGTGCAGTGGTAGGGCATCAGGACTATGGTGGAAGCATAGGAGTGAATGGGAGAGGCTGCAGCAGAGGGCATGGAAAAAGGCACCATGTAGTGAACTAAAGGGAGGGGGGAAGAGATGGGGGGGGCAGGATGGGGAGGGGGAGGAAAAATGGTATGTTGCCGGACATGTTATGTTCTCACTCACAGCTCAGTGCAATTTAGAATGAACTGGAAGAAGGCTCCCCTGCCCTCCCCTCCCCTCCCCTCCCC